TATATATATATATATATATATATATATATATATATATATATTCGAAACACGCTAAAAAATCAAAGTTTTGAAGAACTTGAAATGTGCAGCACTAAATTAAATAATAAGTATTGGTAATGATCTCTTTTTACTTTTTAATTCTCATCTTGAATTAATTGTAGAACTCAGTATTTTTAAATTATTATTTTGCAGCAGTGATTGTATTGTTCAAATCAAAATGCTTATATATTCATGAATTAATTTTTTATATTTGAGTTTGGTCAATTGGGTATTATTGGAGCATAAAAACGCTTCTTAGAGACAATTATAATATTACGAGATATTAAAGGCCAGTTGAATTATGCAGCAAAAAGATTTGTGCTATGCAAAAACTTGTCTAAGTATCATATTTGCCCAATTTTTTGCATAATTTATAATAATGATATAAATTTTAACAGACAGCAAATAAAGTAAACAAATGAATAAGAACTATTTTCAAACTCATAAAAGCTTTTGCTCATAACTTATTATATCATTAATGAGTACCATAATTTATTTTTAATCAGGATAGATTTTCAATAACACTTGAGCAGTGATAAACTGATTACAGCAACATGAAGACATGATTCAGAAATAGGCAGAATTTACGAATATCGTTATAATGGTACAAAATTCTCGCAAAGTCTTTTATAGTTTGTATTTGCATTTTTGTTCAAACACAAAGTGCGTATATTATTGCACTTACAATTATATCATACGCAACGTTCTGAAAGCTATACTTTGATCAAAGCAAGTATCTCATAAGTAATAAAAAGTTATTAACCTTTCTATTAATTAGTTCATAAAGAGTTGAGGAATGGGTGTTGAGATTAAAACTGAAACTTAAATATATAAATTAACTTAAAGTAATTCTATTTACATAAAAATCATGCAGGTGCACATATTTTGATTGCTTTATTATACCTGAAACCATTTGTTATTGAAATAAACGATAAGAAGCAAGATAGTGACATGAAGTAACACTGTATTTGGAACATGCAAAAATTATCTAAGCAATGTTGAATCCAATAGTGGTTTGGGTTGTGCCTTGCAAGTTCATTTGATATTTTTAATTATTAATCATATAAAGAATTATTTTCAAATAAATTAAAATTGCGTATTCAATACAGACGTGGTATTTGAGTGATTCTCAAAAATATTCAGTTTTATATTTGTATGAATCAAAGTTATCCATACTTGAAACCATTTTTCTAAATAATTCAAATTTGTTTTTGCACTGTGAAATTTTGATATTTAAGTGGAAAAAAAGTTTTTCAAAGCTACTCCTAAAATCTTGCTTATAAGTTAATTCAATCATTAATCTATTAATCGCTCTTTATCTATCATTCATTCACTTTACTTCACAATTTTTTCTAACAATAATACAATGTATTGTTATCAAATCATTGATTTGATCTAAAAAATTGGCATTCGATGGAGATAAGAAACTAAGATAATAATAATGACAATATTTAAAAAAAATAAAAATATGACTCACATGATGAAAGATCAGTGATTCAAAACATGTTGAGAAAAGATCAATTATCAGTGTATTTAATAAAATTTCATTGTTTCTTAAAATTAAATTAAATTTTAATAAATCAAAAAATTACTAAAATACTACTGTGTTATAAATTGTGTAGTACAAAATTTTGCACAAAAAAACGAATTTTATTATTTTTCTAGTATTTTTATTAATTTTTAAAATTAAAATTATATATTTTTTCTTTTATCTAATCTGAGATCATTACTTTTTTATATTACTTTAGTATTGCTTATAACTACTTCCAACAGCTGCATAAATCTGTTACTGTTAATTGTTAGTATGAATATCAATATGCATAACTTTGAAAATTTTCAAAGTTGATTTGGTGTGGTATTACCTCACTATGTATTCCTGTCATATTTAATGCTTATCTTTTTTAAATTATTAAAATTGTTATTGTCACGCTTATTCAAAAATTGTGATGACAATTAGCAGACTTTAGAAGCCCTCTAAAAATTTCTTGATTTTGTCTTGTTGTGAAGTTTTAGAGCTTTTTTTCTCAAGAATTTAGTTCATATTTTTGCTTTAAGAATGAAAAACATTAAAAGTTGTGCTTTATGAAGAGAAGTAATTTGAGAAAAAATTATTTTCCTTCAGTAAGTTACTATTGAAAAATGAAACTGCAGTGAACTTAAACATAGTTAAACACTAATTTTTACAATTTAAAATATATGAGCTTAAGTTCAGTAGTTGGGAAAGTGTTTCAGTTAGCTGATCAAACATCTAAAATTTTTATTATTTTATTGCTTATTTAAAAATAATCTTGCTCATTATTATCATATTTGTATACATTTCTTATAATTGTAACATTTTTGCAAACATATTATCGTTATTATATATAAATAAATTAAAATTAAAATAAATTAATAAATTGTCTATTTATATCATAATAATGCATACGATGAAATAACTATTATCATTATTACTGATATTATTATTATTATTATTATTATTATTATTATTATTATTATTATTCAGTACTAACAAATGAATGTAAAAATCAATTGCAATAATAAGACAACCATGATAATGTTTAGAACATGAATAAATGTGATTATTATAACATGATAATATTTGTTTGTACTTACAATTAACTATTAATGACTTAAACTTTCATGAATAAATTTGAGTTACAAGTAAATGATATATATGACAGTATGCAATTAATTTCTTCTCATGTAATAATAATATCAAAAAAATTTTAGTATTCAAATAAAAGCAGTCAATATTTTTTGAAGTACACACAGCATGAAGGTGTTTTCAAATTTCAACACTAAAAAATTTGAAAATAAAAAAGAAGGTTAGAATGTAGAAATAAATGAGTTCCATCTTCGAACAACAAAACAGATGGTTTCCAGCTGGCGTTTCTAATTTTCAAAAACATCCAAATTGTCAATAGAAAAAGTAAGTGGAAACACAAAATACTTTGCTGATTTGTTTCTTCTTTATGCTTTGTGTTAAACTTTTGATTTTAAAAATTTTAAATTATAATACAAAATTATTATCTCATTTTTTTTTTGATAAAATTTTCAATGCTATGTACAATTCTTGAATTTATTTCAGCTATATTTTTATGATATTTTTGTTGCGTAGATATTATCACAGTTTCTTCTTTCATATATTTTAATATTTTGTTATTATAAGAAATATATAAAAGTTTACAGTGTTAGCTTCAGTGCAAATACCAACTTTTAACTTTGATATTTTATTTAAAAATATTTAGAATGCTTATTTTACTTTTAAAAAAATTATGTAATGAATGAAAAAATGAGTACATTTTTGAAAAATAAGGTTAAAAATATAATATCTAATAGGCAAATATTTAAAAATCATTTTGAACATGAAAACTTTTATGAAGAGATAAATTTAATGAGTTATTATAATGATGAATGCTATGACTTTTCATGATAGCAGTAAATACTTAGAATAGATAATAATCTAACTCTTATGTAAAATTTTTTTTAAATTTCGCAAATAATGAAAATTAGTGTGCATTCTAACATATTTTAATAAACACTCTCGTGATAAATAAAGACTGATTGTTGTATGAATTATTAATCTTTATCAGCATATAAAAATTTTAATTTTAATTTTGATTATACTATAAGTTGATCAGAATTAACAATCAATCAATTTTTCAGGTTTTTTAAGTAGCATTTGCTTTTTATTCATTATTTCTGTGATAAATGCAGTTAAACTTTATCACTTTTTATTAAACAATAAGCACTTTTAGTTGGATAATAAGCTAAATATGGACTAAAGAATATAAGTTTAATGGGTAATAATTTATTAATTCTTTCTTATTTAAATAATAAAATATTATAAAATTACTTTAGCTGTTTGATAAAGTAATATAGCTTTTGCTTTTCGGCTTTGTTTTTCAGTGCATAGCAGTTTCGGGTTTTTAAAATATCTTTTCAGGATTATCTATTATCATTTAGATTTTAAATGATTTATTGATATTTCTGTGGATAAAAAAAATTCTGTACTTCATCTTTTGAAATTAACTTTTAATTTTCCTGAATCAATTTTAAAGAGTTAAAGTTTCAAAAATTTTGATATAAATTTTTTTTTATTGAATTGCAAAAGATATTCCTTTGTATTAATAAGTAACACATTATTTGCTACTTTTCATTTGTTTATAACTGATTCTAAGCATTCTGATACAAGTTACAAAATTATCTTCAATTTGCGAAAACGAGTAATATAATCTGCAGTTTTGTATAATTAATTATTTTTTAATAAGTTCTCTTCCTGTTCTGTTAAATAAACGAAAAAAAAATCAAACAAAAATGGCAAACGAAATGATTACTGTAAGAATGAATCGAAGTAATCATACGATTCCATGGGGCTTCAATGTCACTGGTGGAGAGTCGGTGCCAATAAAAATTTGTTCTGTATGTTTTTAGATTAATCATTATTTCTAATATAGTCAATATACTGTAACAAAATTTTAAGTTGCTAACACCTAATTTTTATACTTTTTTTGCAGATATTAATTTTTGAGTGAGCATATTCTCAAGTATTTTTCATCATATCCATTAGTTTAATAACTTTTAAGCATGAAGAAAATTTGAAAATATTTATATTAAAAAAATATTAATAAATTCAATAAGGATAATACATAAATTGTGGCTAATATTTCAAATTTGCATGCTTTATATTTGTATGAAGCAAAGCAAATTTTATATTTTGCATTATTGTACTTATGATCAGATTGTTTTTTTTTTGTACTGTGCATCAAAATTACTTTTTTAATTTAAAAAAAAGTTCCATCAATATTTTAAAATATAAAGTTTCAAAGTTTTTAGTCAAATGTATTAAAATTTTTGAATAATATTATTCATTAGCAACTAACATTATGAAAAATTTGAATGGAAATAGACTTATCTAACTTTTTAGTGGCTAAATAAGGAACGAAAAAACAGTTTCGTCTAATCAAAATTTCGCTTTTTTAACAACATTTCAGAATAAATAAAATGTTCCAGATTAAAAAAATTTTTTCCATAATTATTTGATACGTATGCATTAAAATGTAATAAAAAAGGCTAAATACTTGAGAATGGTTTATATCAAAACAGATTTTAATTTTAAGGTTAGCATTAAGTTTGAAATACAGTAGTCGTTCCAAATGAACAAAACAAAGCATTTCTTTTTCAGACTTTTGAAAAGTTACAATAATTAAAGGTTTTTTTGGTGATATTTTGCTATTATTTATGTTTTCAGTGAATTTCTGTGCAAGTTTTGTCTAATCAAAATTTTGCTTTTTTAATAAACAAATTATTAAGACTATATTTTAAAACATTTAAAGTGCAAATAAATAGCAAATATTTTTTTTAGAAAAAGTTAGCAAAACTAAAGCTAATCTTAGTTTATCACTAAATGATCAAAAAATTTTTGCAATTATTTCAAAATATTCATTTTGTATTTACTAGTAAATTTAAGATTCAAAAAGAAAGTTTGGCAGAAAAAGCCGGATTGCAAGTAAATGATATCGTTGTCGAATTTTCGGGTCGTAGTACTGAAGGAATGTCACTTCAAGAAGGCAAAAATTATATCGAAAAAACTTCTTCTGAAATTCGTATGGTTTTACAAAGGTATTTTTGAATCAAATATAAATTAATTTTTTTTTATTAAGTAAAGTTGTCCAAAATACTTTTGTCAAGTATAGCAATAACTATACTTGGATATAATTTTTGTTGCAAATGATCTTTCATGAGAAATTTTTTGTTAAATATTGTATCGTCTCTATTTATATAGTGCAGGAATTATGAACGACTAGCATATAGAATGCAAGCAAATTTCTTGTCAGCTCTTCCAATCTAAATTAGAATTTTAAATAATGCAGAAATTTTTGATTTCAGACAGCTCAATTTGCATTATGATACATCTGATGTATAAAATAATTCAAAATGAATATCATTTACTAACTAAATTACTATACTTACTATCCTATACTTATTCTTAGTACTTATTACTATGCTATACTTATGCTAAATATGTTTACTATGTCATAATTACTATACTTTATTTTCAAAAATGGTCGCTTGATTATTTTAAATATACTTTTTATGTTATTTCAGGCACATAACAGAACATCCATGTTTACCTTGGCAATTAACAAGCAACGGTAACGACGTGACGATAGATTATATCAAGCCTGAAACAGCTGTTAATTATAACTCTTATGAGGTGAAAGGTCATTTCTGAGATGACATAGTAAATATATTAAGCAGAATCAGGAACAAATTTTCTAGAACCAATTAGGCAGAAAAATTCTTCTAAACTGGACTGAAGCTCTAAAGCTTTAGGGCATTTAGTATCAATATATAAATAATAAATTTCTAGTGAAAAATTCAAATTCATAAAAAGTATTTATTGCTTTATTGCAAACGTAGAATTATTAAATCGCACAAAATTTCAAACTAAAATAAATTTCTCGCAAATGAATGTTATTTATTATTTGTGCCAATTTTTAATACGCAGTCCGTATGATAATTATTTTTGAATTTCCAAATTAAATACAATCATCGTGAGCACTACGAGTCCTTAAACTTATTCTTTTGAAAGTGAAATTCTACGCAAACTTTTTGCTTTAGGAAGATAGTAAATAATATTAAATTAAAATAGTATGCAAATAAAACAGTTATTATGATTAATTTCAATATTTTTATGCTTAAAATTTTTTCTAAATGTGTATTCTCTTGAAAGATGTAATATTATTAATAACACAGTTTTGAAATTGTAGAGAAATACCAATAGCCGTCCACTGATTCCAAATTATCAACCATTACCATTCACAAATGTAACAAATACAAAAGTGAAATTTTCTGACAAAATGAATGAAAACGAAAAAGACCGAAATAGAAATTACACTGATAATATAACAAGGTATGTCAGCAGTCAAAAATATAGTCAAAATAATTTAACTATGAATGCTACTAAATTTTTATTCATATATTTTAGAGTAATAACTAATATTTAAACTGATAGAATTCAAAAAAAAATTTGTAGAATGGAATCAACACATGCAAGTAATGTAAACAAATTTGGATCTGGTAGTGGTACATCACGTAACGTACCAATAGCAATTGCAAATTCAGTGTCATCATCTACTGTTGCAAAACCATTTTCTGTGCTACAAAAAGATGATACAACTACAAATGGACCGAAAAATTATAATCTTGTTAATACAGGTAATAATACTTTTAGCAGTGCTAAGTATTACCATAATTGTGAACACGATTTTATCAAAAATATAGCAATCAAATAATCTTTACGTAACTGCAACCGTTATTTTTCTGCCTGATTTATAATTGATAAAATGTAGAAAATAATATAATCGCGTCAAAATAAAGACAAACATTTTGAATTTGATTTGCAATAATTGTGAGTAATTTAGATAGTAATATATGATTTGTAAAGAAAAAATAAAACTGCATTGTTTTATAGTAATGAAAATTGTATATATCATCATTACAAAAGTAGCATGTAAATATTATACCTCAATCATGTCATATATATGTTTGTCATGATATAACTTTAATTACAGCAAAATTTTTTGTGACAAATTTATTAAGTAATTGGATATTTTGAAAATTTTGCAAAACTTGCACTACTATTGAATATCATCAAGAACTAAAAGTTAGACATATGACAATTTTCTTAATCATTAACTTTTGTAAAATTTTTTTAAGCCCAAAATGATTTGGCACTTTCAACAAAGTATTATTTTAAAAAACATGTAACTTAAACAATCTTTTTTAACAAAAAAATTAAGCTATTAAAATTTGATGAAGATAAACTTATAGAAAGTCGAAAATCTTTGCAACATTTGCCTCGTACAGAGCGTAAACTTTTCCCAGATGCCTCAGTTCGTCATTTGCAGTATAATTCCCCAATAAATTTATACACGCCACATGCTGCTGCTGAACAATATCAACAGCAAACCGGTAGATTTATTAGCAATGAGTAAGTTTATTTTTTTAAAAAAAGGTTCTCTTTCATGGAGTAAGTAGAAAGCTTTTAATTGTTCTCAATGAAATGAATTTTGATAGTAATTACAATAAGATTAATAATAATAATAATAACAATAACAATTTTATGCATTTTCTCCATTATAAAATTTTTATATTTATCAGTGAATTATTGCAGTCCATTACTGCGAGTACCTAAGAAAACTGAATCATATTTACAATCAGAAACACGACGCTTGATAGCTGAAGAAGAAGGACAGAGTACGCATGAGAAAGCGCCATCAATGCAAAGTGCGAGTTTTAAACGAATTTCACGTGCGTGTGGTACTCCTGTTGATTAATTTAGCGCTTGCTTAGCTAATTACAATTTCCTATTCTCTACTCTTTATGAATACAAAGTTTAAAAATTACTTTATTATCTGTATAAATATAAAGCATTATAAATTAGAAAAAAGGAAAAGAAAAACTTATTCAACTTTGATTTGAAAAGTTCGATTTGAACAATTAGATGGATTATTAACAATTTTGTCATAGTAATGGAATTAAGGAAAGTTCATGGAGAAAGTATCATTTAATGCTTGGAAAATTAAATGATAATCAAATTTAGTAGTTTAATGATAACATATTCATTAACTGACAACAGAATCATGGATACCAATAAATTTTTACTCACGTCAGACCTTATCATTGATGATTTTGGTTATATAAATAAAATTGATACTTGTGTGGATAAATAAAAATTAATAATATAAAATAGCACAATAAAATTTATGCCTCAATAATAGTGAGCTCATTTAACCTATCCTTAGTGATAACCTGATTTTATTCAATGTGAATATTAGCCAGCAATCATTCGGTCGATACTATGCTGAGTATTAACCTTTTATTCTACGTAACTACCGAACTGTTGATCTTTAGCTCATTCAGTTCCGTCTTGGTAGTAATTTTCTGAAAAAATTTGACCGTCTTTGAAAAAGCAAACGATTTTTCTAAGCAATGAATGATGACTTGAAACACAACAATAAGTTGATTGAATTTTTGCATGAAAAATTTTCAATTGAAACCAAAAAATGGATAAAATCAAAAATGCAACCACACGTTATAATGCGGAGGTTCATTTCGACTTGCTCCGATGTTATTCAAGCTAAGAATTGCAGCATTGAAAACCCCTAACACTGATCAGTCTAATCAATTTTATGCGATCATTTCACACACAATAAAATTATTATTAACATTATCATGATTACTGTGAGATGGGTACTAAAGTTAATGATATTTATTATATTGTTTCGGCCATTCTTTTTCTGCCAATAAATAGTAAAATTAAATCAATATTAACGATAATATCAGTAATACCGACCAAATTTGCGATCGAAAAACCATATCAAAAGTGAAAATGAATAGAATTAGTTCTTAAAAATTGCGAGAAAAAAAGTTAAAAAGCAGCCTGTTATTCACAACAGTAAGTTCAATGCTGTCCTCCAATGACTCTATCATTAATTCGCCTGATTTATGAAACCTGAAGAAGATCAAATTGAAATAAAAGCCGTCTCGCTAATTTTGAAAAACGAGTCAAAGAGGTAAAACGCAACAAATGAAGCGGATGTTCACGAAGCAGTTAAACAGACAATTAGTTGACAAAACATGGATGGAACATATTTTCCTTGAAATTTAGCTGCTGCTTAATAATAAGTCCATGATTTGCCAGAAGATTGTTTTAGAACTGGGCGATTGATTGCTTCTTGCATTGACAAGTTTGCTATTATTATATTTAGAATTGTTGTTGTTTGGTCAATTGGTCAGTCGGTTGACTGGTTAATTTTTGCATTAAATTGTTTTTTGGTGTTACTCTCTTTTAATTGGTTTGTTGTGCCTTTGCTGGTGGTGAGTTTTAGCCATCGTACCAAATTCTCTCTCATTTTATTGTATCACAGATGAACTTATTTATTCAACTAATTGCAGATGATTTCAAACCAAATTGCATCAGAAGAATAATGCATGGGTCTTTTTGACTCAGAAGAAGAATTTGTTGATGTACTTCCTGAATTGTGGACTACTCATTGATTTCTTATATTTTCTACCAATCTAATTAACAGCTTATGAATAGCTCTTTCTCGAGAAAGAATGTCCTCCACAAGCAGTGATAGATCAAAGACACACTGCAAACTTCAGAATCATTCACTTGCAATCACAAACGTTTTTGTGTGCCACAATCCAAGCGCCAGAATCATGTTTGCTCTACAGTATTATATAACCGGAAAATGCATTTGTCATCCGTGCTTTCTTACTAATAACAGATGTGCTTTGTTTGACTTTTCGCTTTGATTCAATGCAATTTTAATATGAATTGCAAAAGATGCTATTCTTTTCCACTTTTATAAAATGTACCTCATAACTGTTCAAGCAGTACGTTACTATCGATAGCACTTATAAATGCCATCAGAAGTCACTTGCCGAGATTAGAGTAGATCAAAACTTTTAAAACTATAAATGCATCGAAAAGATATACCGCATAGTCGTTTTTTTCCTCGTAATAATTTATTTCATTGCTTGCAATATTTTTCGAACTAAAATAGTATTAAAAATTTCAGACCCACAAGTCCATAGGAATTTTCTGCTTTCAAGCACGCGTAATGAACTCTGAAACTACACCTTTGCAATCGATTTTGTAAGAGGATTCGCATGGACCTCATAAATTGCCAAGTATGAATATCCTCCAAAACTTTTGTACACCTATTAAAACGCAAATTTGTCCTCGAAAACAGTAAATTCACTAATGCAAAGCAATTATCCAAAAGCCAAATGTATGCACAGTTGATGTCAAAAAGATCATTATTATTTGCATGACTGCGGATACATTCATGCTTACGGTTCAGTTACAGACCACTCAGTTTCAAAAGTAATCACTCCATTGGAAGAGAAGAGGTCAAACACATATTGTTGTTGAAAAATATTCCGAAAATGGTAAGAAAATGTTTTGCGAGTGCAATGTGAAGACTTCTCTGAATGCATCATTCCATGCTTAAAACTAAATTTTTGAGAAACTTTTATTTATAATAACAAAACAACATAATATATTATTAAGACAAAAACGGGATAAATTTGCAATATTTACAATTTTAAACAGAAATAATGAAGCAAACCTACGTATGTCAATATATACATTTAAAAAGTTTATTGAAAACTTGTTAATAAAATAATATTAAAATATTTTTCATGTTAAATCACAACAATAATTATTAAAATTCATGCTTGCTTGGTCAACATTTGATAAATTTCTTTTGCTTCAACCGGATCGTCGCAGTGTCAATAATGCCAGTGGAATTGACATTTTCAACTGCGACCACGAGAGTTTTTCCCTAACTTACAATCCGTAAATAGGCTGCAGCAAGTGAGAAACCAAAATCTTTAATCATGATTTTGAAACATTTCAAAATCATGACATCAAGTGTGCCATCTGAACTCCGAAACATGAAAACTAAAATCAAGTGCTACGTCATTAGTTACTTTATGCATATCTGAATCTGTAAATTAACTATTGAGTGTTTATTAATGATTACAATGAACAGTGAAAAATATTCACTGACCTGATAAGATGGCACTTATTGAAAATGGTATTGACTGCTGCTGACTGAGACTGTCAGCAACTCTGCACGGA